AATCCCCCCCCCCCCCTTTAACCTCATAATTCTGACTTGTTTCTTGCAATTGTGATTGTGTGTGTATATCTCACAGTTCTGAGACTATATCTTGCAGTTCTGTGTTTATATCTTGCAATTCTGAGTTTATATATCACAATTCTGCGTTTATATCTCATAATTCAGACTTTTATTCTCAGAATTGTTTGTTTATATCTCACAGTTCTGAGACTATATCTTGCAGTTCTGTGTTTATATCTTGCAATTCTGAGTTTATATATCACAATTCTGCGTTTATATCTCATAATTCAGACTTTTATTCTCAGAATTGTTTGTTTATATCTCACAGTTCTGAGACTATATCTTGCAGTTCTGTGTTTATATCTTGCAATTCTCAGTTTATATCATACAATTCTGCTCAGAATTGCAAAACTCAGAACTGCGCAAAAAAAAAAGTCAGAATTGTGAGATAAAAAGTCACAATTATCTTTTTTATTTATTTTTAATCCAGTGGTGGAAACAATTTTCCACAGTGGCCAGTTTGGTTAACTGGTATTGGCTATTTATTGGTAATCATTGATCAAGGCATTAAAGTCATGTGATTAGCTTATAGACAGCTGACCATCCTGTATTTTAATCCGTGATGTGCACCAAGGTTACGCTCTGACAGTCTGAGTGAGAGGTTGTGAGAAAAAAAAAAACTCATTAACTCAGCATGTGAACGATGACACTTGTGTCTAGATGTGAAGTGTTCTTTAAGTTTGCAGAGCAATAATAAAATACTGTATATGCTGTGTGCTATGCAATGCTGCTGTTTTAATGTGAAGTGGCACGCTGATATTTTTAGATCAGGTGTTTTTAATGAGTTTATGTCGATCCTCTTTGCTTAAGGTCTTTGGAGCGTTTTGATTGGATTTTAGGCACTCTATCGGTCTTTTCGATGAAATCAAGGTTTAGTAGGTCACCAAATCCAGTCCCTGTTCTCAAAGGCTTGATTTTTGATGATGGAAGCTGCAATTCCTGTGTGAGTGTTTGTCACAAACATCATTTAGCATCCAGCGAAGATGTAGTGAGGCATGTGAAACTGTCACGGCGTTCTGTAAATCAGAGGTGTAGAGGTTACGTGCTGAACTGAAATGTGTCATTTTGTCTGTCTGCCAGATTAAACGAAAGGTCAATGCATACAAATACTCTCCATATTAATATCATGAGACTTGCTCTGTTTACAGCCTCACTCCTTTCATTTCAACTTTCTTGCTCTGTTTAGATTTCCTCTGCTTAATGTCTCAGAGACCCCACTGATGTATGTATAACAATAATAGCATCTATGGCATCTATTTCAATAATGTTGTTTCTGTTTTGAATCAATGTGACCTCAGCAAAAACACATAGCAAACATAAACAGCTGACAGAAGAGTATCTCTACAGAGTCAAAAATTGAAATTCTGTCATCACTTACTCACTCTCATGTCATTCTAAACCTGTATCACTTTAATTGTTCTGCGGAACACAAAAGAAGATATCTTGAAGAATGTAGATAATCAAATAGTATTGGTTACCATTGGCTTCCATTGTACAGACATTTTTTCAAAATATATTTTATCTTCTGCAGAAGAAAAAAAAGTCAATGTTTTGGAATGACATATGGATAAATGATAACAGAATTTTCATTTTTGGGTGAACCGTCTCTTTAAGTGTCAGCCTGATTCTTAAATGTGAGGTATTTTTTGAGCTATGAAAATGACCTAGATGGAAACTAAAAAGAAGAGGTTTTCAGGTCTGTCTGAAAGGTCTGTATGAAAAAGTCAGACCCCAAACAGAACATGAGGTTTACTATGTTAAATGTAAAACAACATTTAAAATGTTTAGAATTTTTACAATGGATTTTTTTTTAACAATTTTGTGGTAAAGGTTAATCTCAATAACGACACTCATACATGCTGTTCCTGGCCAATTTTTGTCTGAAACATACTGAAAACACTGTGATATCACACTCACAGTTGTGCTGTAGTACTGAATATCAGACCTGCAGCCCTGTGTTTATGGCCAAAGCTGTGCTGACATTTAGCACAAGAGCACTCTTGCACATATGATTATGCTTAATTGTGTCACTATGATGCTGGCTGGAATAAAATTCATTTAAGGGGATAAGGAGTATAGTCCCAGTCAGAGGAAAACTTAAAATTAAAACTAAACGAAAGCTCTATTTATTTTGAATATAATTTTTTGTACACATCTTCATAAATCTCCAACTGGCCAATCATGTCTATAAATAAATTATTCAAACTAAAGCTTATTCCACTATTGGGTATTAGAGTCCTTTGTTGTTGACAGAAAACAATACAGTATGCAGTCGTCTCACAGTAAAATTATGACTGCTAAAGTTAATAAAACACATTGATTAAATAATTTTATAGAATTTTTAAGCTAATTTTGGCATAAGATCGACAGCTGTGCAAGCTGTTGAAATATCTAACTTTCAGTTTTGATATTCTTCATTAAATCAATGTTGGAAGTGATTTAAACCCCACAATGACGCTTATTTTTGAACTTTATCAAATAGTTCCACATTCTGTTTGATTTGTGTGGTTTATTTTTTCATAAAAGAAGTTCTGAGAGGTTTCTGGCTGACTGCTTCTCTAGGAGCTGTCCATACTCACTGGTGCTGAAGTCAAACTGGCCTTTGTACGCTCTTCACGCAACCTGTGTGCACAGCCCTCATGCTCCACCAAGCGCACTAATCGCTAGTGCATCGCCCTATATGACACGCCAAATACAACAAATGCGAATTTTTCAGGGAAGGAATGTCCGATGACACAACTTACCGGTGTCCACACGCGAGGTTTACGCGCCGTTACCGATGTCGCCATCACGATGAAATGCGACGCAGCCACCAAGATGCCGAACAAAACCGCCAAGAGCGTCCTGACCGGTAGCAGAAAGTAGGCAACAAAAATAACGAGCATCAACTGCCAGACACCTTGCTCAGGTGTTGTGCTCGGTGCGTCAGGCCCCTGCGCGCCCTGCGTCCCGTGACCCAGCACGAGAGGAAACGGGCAACAGAGCAACGCGAACGTGAAGCTGAAGAGCAACGCGAGCCGCGCGATCTGCTGCAGCTGCGTGACCTGCAGATATTTGACGTTGGTGACGATGAAGAGCGAGGTGAAGATGACGCAGTGGACCGGGTGCGAGCCCTTGGACACGGTGAAGCGCGAGCCGGCGGACAGCAGCTCCACGAGCGCCAATGCGGACGCGGCGAGGATGAGGATGGCCAGCGCTTTGAGCGTGGCGGTCTGCTCGAGCTTCAGGTTGTACTTCTGGAAGAGAGTCTCGAGCTCCTTGCAGTCAAACTCACGCTCGCACGCGCCGGCCAGGCAGCGACTTTTCCTCTGCCACGTGCGGACTCTGGGAAACGGAACTTCGTCCATAGCGGGGCCATTCATGCAGCCAGAGCTCCTCTTCACAAGCACCGCATGTCCTGCACTTGTTGTCGCGGTCCTGGCAGCAAGAGACGGGCTCGCGCACACTGAGTCTCCCCAGCGCGAGACTGTATCTAATCCGCAGCACGCACTGCCACCATCCACAGGTTGGTGACTGTTGTAACGAGCGCAGACAGCACCCGCCTCCTCTTTTCTCTCCCTCGCTCTCTCTCCTCCCTCCTCAAGGCGGTCTCCAGGGAACAGACCACCCGTAGCGTTTGTTCGGCCCCAGAAAGAGGTTAACATCGGCCACGCAGAGTCGGGACTCCCCTCTCCGCATCCCACAGCTGCATCTCAGCGCCGCGGCCAGATCACGCATGCGCAATGTCAGCGCGAGATTGAGAAACCAGGCACGTCTCCCAGTCCTCAAAAAAGATAAGACAAGACAGCAGCCTATGGGCTTACATTTCTGCCACAATTCTGCGCGCGAAAGATCATATTTTGAGCGCACAAAAGTGCATTTTGCACACGCGCGATCTGAGTTTGTGGAGAAAATGTTCGTTTCGCAAAGAAAAAAGTCTTTCGAGCGCACGGAAATCAATTTTGCATTTAAAATACGTTTTTGGATGTGTGCAGACCTTCTCTTTTGCGTGTGCAACGTTTCACTAGCTTGCTCACCTGATGCCCCCCTCTGTGCTCGCTAAATGCCAACAGCTCGTGTGCTCAACACAACCCAGCTTTACAATGTGCTATAATTCCAGCCAGTCAGAGACCGAGGCTGCTAAATTCTGATTGGCTGCCTTGACAACCAATCACAACATTTCTTGCATTACCTCGACAGCATAAGAGGACAAATACAGTGCATGCATAATTATTATGCAAGTTGATATTCGGATTATATTTTTTTCCAAGCACATTTTACCAATAATTATAACTACTATTAATCTTGTATTTAATCACTTATAATCTATATA